TATTATTATTATTATTACTACTACTACTACTACTGCTACTGCTGCTACTGCTACTATTACTATTACTATTACTACTATTACTGCTGCTGCTACTGCTACTGAAAGGGCTCGCCATTCCTTCTCTGAAATGCATAGAGAATCCGTCATTCCAGAAGTTGAGGTAGAAATCCATCCAGGGAGGTTTGGGGCCAGGACGTGGAGCGGGAAGCCAGAGCAAACCGGAAAGGCAGCTGCTGCTACTGCTACTGAAAGGGCTTGCCATTCCTTCTCTGAAATGCATAGAGAACCCGTCATTCCAGAAGCTGAGGTAGAAATCCATCCAGGGAGTTTTGGGGCCAGGACATGGTGCGGGAAGCCAGAGCAAACCGGAAAGGCAGTGAAAGTTGGCCGGTTTAAAGGACCAAGTACTGTATTTCTGCAAACGGATTGGGAACCTGCGAAATCTCTTGGGATCATAAGTGTGTTCCCCACCTGAGTCTGGGTGGGTGCCACTGACCCAAACTGACCCAGCTCCTGTTTTGAAAAATGGGCCATTAATACCCGTCAGTAGCAACATTGGTGCTCCTAACACAACCCTTTTGGCCATATCTGCATTTCCAGGTATTTTGGAGGGAGCAGAGACGGAGAGAGAAGGATTTGCAGGAATGGGGGAACCAATATTGGTGGAGGGGACAGTCTCTTCTGTCAGAGGGAAGAAGGAATGGTTACATTTTTAATCCTGGGATGCTTTAATCCTGCCTCATCTACTTTACAGGGTTGTTGTGACGGGAAGGAGAGCAGAGGAAAACTTCTCTGTATTTTCCCTTCTTTATCCACCTCTCCTTTATATTTGTACCCGATTTTCTCACAGAAGTCACACACAGATCTTTTTGTGCCCCTTGGAGGAAAAAGACACAAGCAAGCTCGTTAGTGTTACTGAATTTAGCCAGGTCGGAGCCAGAATAATTATTTGCTGTATGGAAACCAGAGTTTGCCCCAGGTGCATAAGGCAGCCCATGACCTAAATACAAAACAGTTGCCCCTTTTGATTGAGCGGCAAAGTCTGTCTTAGGGTTTGAAAGGCAAATTGTAGCATCTGCAGTCTGCTTTTGGTTGCAGGGGAGAGCAGGGGGTCGGCTCTCTTCGAGGGAGGTGAATAGACAAATATGTTGCTTGTCTTTATTGTTTGCCTCAGTGAAGGGATGGGTCAGTAAATAAATACTAGCTGCAGAAACAAGTGAGTAGGTGAACAGAAGACGTGAGGGAAGGGCTCCCTGGTTTGAGGCGAAGCATCTTGCTTTCACTTTTAGAAATGGGCCAGTGTTTCTAATCGCAGGGATGGGATCCATGGCACAGAAAGCAGCAGCTGGGAAACCCAATCTTGTATCTGTGCCCCTTGTCTGTATCTGTGCCCCCTGTCTGTATAGGCAGACGCCCCATCTAGACCCTTTGTGTTAAGAAAAGACTTGTGTGGAGGAACCCACATGGGAAGGAGTTTCTCTTTTGAGATTCCAGCAGCTCAGCAGGCAGTCGCAGGGAGTGGGAAAGTCTGCTTTTGAGGAATTGCATCGCCCAGCCAGCTGTATATGTGCCATCCTGGGGTCACAGAGGTGGGAGCAGGCAGGCAGGTTTGCAGAAGCAAGCTTGCGGTTCTCTTTTATCCACTGGAGCATTGGAAGAAAATCCTTGATGAGTGGGTGTGGGTCCTGAAAGCTTGATCGGGGGCCACCCAGAACTTCAGATGGTTGTTTTCCCAGTCCCCTTGATCTGCAAGGGCGCCCCTTGTTTAGTTTCCTCCTCTTCTGTCTTCAGGAGACAGAGGGGGTTTAGCAACGAGGCCTTTGCTGTGTCAACGCAAGCCGCCTTCCGTGTCCTTGATGTGGCTCTTTTTGCAGTGGGAGGGGTCTTGGGATTCCTGGCCTCTTTCCCTGGGTTAGGCATGACAAGGATCATGCATTGCACACACCAACTGGAAACAAAGGCCTGTTTGTTTGGGCGGAGCTTGCTTCCCGAGGAAGCTTGGAGGACGGACCTAGCTTTCAAGTGGTCACTCACAACTCACCGACCACCGGCCACTTGGGTTTTGCATGGCTTGCAGGTTGCCCTTCCAAAGCTGCCTTTCGGCACAGCATAGAGCAGGAATGTCTCCATGTTGTAGTGATTTCAGAGAGCGCCTGAGGCCACCCTTTGAATGATGTCACCTCCATTGCCAGTTAATGCTCGGGTCGAATGGGGAGGTGGCATTCCTAACTCCCTCTCTTTTTCTGCATTCCCGTCTCTCGTGGGGAAGCTGCAGATCCAAAGGCTTTTTGGAAGTATTCTCATCGGTCTCTATTCAGAAGGGCAACTGGATTATGTCAGCAGCCTGGGTCTCACAGCAGGACGAATTCCCTCACATGCGCTCATCCTCAGGACCTGCCTGAATCTCTGCCACCACAACAGAAGAAAAAAAACCCGACACCCCCCCCTCAAGAAAGCAGAACTGCAAGCTTTGGAAATCTCTGGGAGTGATGGTTTGCTTTTAAAGCCACTCACAGGGCCCCTTGCACCGTTTAACCCCTCTGGCCTACCCACCCAAGAAGTGGACAGGCAATTACGTCCTGGGTTGGTTTTTCTAGCTCTTTTCATGGGTGTGTGGGTCTGGGATTCTCAGCAGGACGAATTCCCCCACATGCGCTCATCCTCAGGACCTGCCTGGAGCTTGCCCATTCCTGCATTTCCCTTGTGGCTCGTGAAAGCCACTGAAGGCCAGCTGAGCCAGTGCCTCGGCCACTTTCCAGGGTGCCAGGAGCCAGCTGGGTGCGAGGCGGATGCTGGCTGGACAGGACGGGACCTAGTGTTGTGTTCACACATCGCCACCTCCCTCCTCCTCCTCCTCTCCCAAGGTTTTGCTGCATTGCCTCCAAGAACTGGCTCTCGTTCCACTGGTGTGCGTTATCTGAACGCTTGTGTTCCAGCCGCTATTTTTAACTGCAGCTTGCCCTCCTTGCCTTGGCAGAGGCGCTTGCCTGTTTCCATAGTAACCGTGGCTCAGCCACTTCCAGAGAATAAAGGTGCAGATCAGGGACAGGGCTTGCTATCCTTGGGATGGGCTGTGCATCCTGAAACCGTGCAAGACTCCCAAATGGAATCGGTGTCCGCTGTGCTCCTAGGAGCGGGGCAAAGGAACGGAAGAGGGGAATCCTGATACCGGTGGCACAGAGATGAAACTCAGAAGGAGCCGGGATGGAGAAGGCATCCTTCCCCCGCCCAAGAACCACTGTCGGTCAGAGCTGGCCGCAGAGGCTTAGAGGGAGCCTCGGTTAGATGTGGCAGTGCAGCAGCTTTAAGGTTCCTCTTAAGGTCTGGAGATTCACTGCGTAGATGGAGCTGGTGCTTAACTGCTCCCTGCAGCCGGTCTGTGTGGGTTGCTCTTCGCCTGCGCCAGTTTCTGCCATCTGCCAGCTAATCGGGTCACGTGACTCCCAGAGCTTTGGGGCTCCACTCTCAGGCTTTTCCGCTCTCACTGTTTGTGTTCGGCATCATCTGGAATCTCCCTGGCAGAGACCCCCCCCCGACCAAGACGGGCATCATGGCGCTCCCCGAGCATCAGGGGACGAGGTGGCTTTCTCTGCTGCTCTGGCACCCTCTTGCTCTCCTTTCTTCTCTGCACCTTGCTTTTCCTGAGCTAGGATTAGACTCTGAGGGAGGTGGCTCGGCAAGAATAAAGCAGCACCAAGGCTAGAGGAGGCGAAGGCATGCGGGGGGCTTTGGATTTGTGTCCGTGTGCTTTTCGGACGGGTGGTCACAGTAAGGAGGGTCTTGAGGGCAGGGCTTACGGAGGAGAAAGGAAGCCTCATTCTGCCTCCTCTTTACCTGAGGAGATGAAACTCTATAGTCTTCCCAGCTCATAATTTAAA